TTCTCCGACCCTATCATCCATCACAGGTTATTTCCGCTGATTTGCATAAATATTTCGAGTTGACAGCAAGCGGCTAGTGGATGTAGAAAGTTACCTCTCTCTCTCTCTCTCTCTCTCTCTCTCTCTCTCTCTCTCTCTCTCTCTCTCTCTCTCTCTCTCTCTCTCTTTCTCTCTCTCTCTCTCTCTCTCTCTCCCTATCCCATTACCTATTTTCCCTCCACTCTCTATTTTTCTTTCCTTCACTCTCTCCTCCCCTCTCATCTATTCCCTTTTTCACTTCCTCCCATTCTCTGCCTGTCTCTCTTCCCCCCTTTCCTCTCTCACGCCCTTTAGCCTCCCTCCTTCACCTCTTTCCTACTTACTCAGTTGACCCTAGGTCAGGTGTCACGCGAGGAGGGGGGGGGGGGGTTGACCCGCTTAACCCTTCCGGAAACTGTCCTTACCCTCCCCCTCCCCCCTCCCCCCTCCCTTCCAACTGCCCTCCGACCCCCGACCCCTCTCACCCCCTTATCCCACCCCCCACCCCCCACTCGATCGGCATCCTGGGGGTTAGAGATCTGACTCTTTCTCTCTCTCTCTCTCTCTCTCTATTTCCGGTGCGGGGGAGGGGGGAGGGGGGAGGGAGGGAGAGGGAGAGGAAGGGATAGTGAAAGGGAGAGTGCGTGGGAGGGAGGGAGAGGGAGAGGGAGAGGGAGAGGGAGAGGGAGAGAGAGAGAGAGAGAGAGAGAGAGAGAGAGAGAGAGAGAGAGAGAGAGAGAGAGAGAGAGAGAGAGAGAGAGAGAACGTAAAAGACAAAGCGAGAGAATGAGAAAGAAAATGAAAAAGGGCAGTCAAAAGAAATGAGAAAAATACAGAAAAAAAAGGGAAGAGCAAAAGCAGGAGAAAACAATACAACAAAAGTAAAAAATAAAAGACAATACAAGAAAAAGAAAAACAGAAACAGAAACACAAGAGAAGAGAAAAGAAGAGAGAGGAGCGAGGAGACCCTTATATCACGCCGAGATAAGACCTTAAAGATAAGTCCAGCAAATGGCTATTGAGCGACAGACTGCATAACCGATCACAAATCAGTTGAAGATAACCCTTATCTTCAAAGCCGGTGTGTTGTTCCCTTATCTCAATACCTAAAAAAAGAAACTTGACTTGAACATCACTAACTATGTCCAAACGATCACAACATATACGAAGATCATGAAAAGGAAATTAATCACACGAACACAGATAGCATATAATGACTGAATTAAAAAGGCATTTATTAACATATCAACCACCATTTTCTAGGTCTTTATACCTAAAAAAAAATAAATAAACATTTAAGAAAATAATCAATGCAATTATTCAATCAATTGCAACACAACACATAATGAAATTCGAAACAGGAATTACAAAATAATAATAATAACAATAATAATAATAAACCAGACTAAACTGAAAACTGAAACAGCCGCAATATAATTCAAATCAAGATGAAATCACAGATAAAAAAAATAATAATAATAATAATAAACGGTAACCAGTTCAAAGGAAACAACAAAATTTCGAAACACGAGCAGAATACAGAAAAAATACATATAAACGCCATGATAACCAATCAACCGACACACTACCACCCGTAATATAATTTCGAAACACGAATGGATTAAAAAAAAACAAAAAAACAACAACAACAACAACAACAAAAATAACAATACTAAATTACTGTGATAATAACAATACCAAAAAATAAATAAATAAATAAATAAAAATAAAAATATAAAATAAACAATATAAAAACAATAAATAAATAAAATAAAAATAATAAATAAATGAAATAGAGATTATAAGAATAATAAATAAATAAATAGAGATAATAAAAATAATAAATAAATAAAATGGAGATAATAAAAATGATAAATAATTAAATAGAGATAATAAAAATAATAAATAAATAAAATAGAGATAATAAAAATAATAAATAAATAAAATAGAGATAATAAAAATAATAAATAAATAAAACAGAGATAATAAAAATAATAACAACAGTACTAAAATGTTGATGACAATAACTAATCATGGGATATCCGCCAAGCCAAACCTGGATTATCGCCTCGGAAAACGGGCCAGCATTGCGCCATCTATTTTTTTTTTTTTTTTTTTTTATTGCGTCATCACAGGATACTATTCCCGCCGTTAATTATAGAGCGTATATTCGAATATATAATCCAATGGCTGATTCATTTATCTGTCTGTTTATTTGATTATTGAATTATTTATCTGCCTGTGTGTGTTTATTTATTTATTGAATTGTTTATCTGTCTGTATGTTGGTCTATTTTTCTATCTGTCTGTCTAGCTGTCTGTCGACTTATGTTTGATGATTAATATTTATTTAGTGAATTCTGTCTCTCTGCCTGTTGTCTATCTGTCTGTCTGTTTGTCTTTTTGATGCCTGCATGTCTGTGTCTCTGAGTCTGTCTGTTGTCTATCTGTCTGCATGTATGTCTGTATGTCTGTCTATCTGTATGTATGCCTGTCTGTCAGTCAGTCTGTGTCTGTCTATCTATTCATCCAGTTATGTCTGTCCGTCTGTCTACCTCTCTCTCTTTTTATATCTATCTATCTGTCCGTACGCCTACGTCTGGCTATCTATCTATCTATCACTTGCATCATTTTCGAGAATAGAATTTTCGAAAAAAAAAGATGTTTAAGCCTTCACGTTGAACGAAAAAAGGAGGCGCGATTCCTATAACAAAAAATAAATAAAACACAAAACAAAAAACAACACAAACAAGAAGGGAAAAATAGGCCTTGGGTTTACGAAGGACTGAAGGGGAAGGGGGGGAGGGGGAGGAAAGGGAGAGGGACGGAGGGGGGGGGGGCGAGTCAGTCGACCCCCCTCTGGCCTTCTTCCTTCGCCTTACAAGGGAAGGTAAGAGGGTGGGGGGTGGGGTGGGGGTGGGGGAGGGGGTAAAGGTTGTATAGGCCGTAGAGAATTCAGGGTCCCGCTTGTGGAAGCGGAGGAGGGGGGGGGGTAGGAGGTAGAAAAGGGGGAGGAGGCTTGAAGAACGTTGTAGAAATGGAGGGAGAGGGGGGTGAGGGGGGAGGAGTAGGAGGAGGAGGAGGGTAAGAGAAAGAGAAAGAGAGGGAGGAGGGAGGAAGGGGCAGGGAGGAGAGGAAGAGAGGGAGAGGGAGGGAGAGAGAGAGAGAGAGAGAGAGAGAGAGAGAGAGAGAGAGAGAGAGAGAGAGAGAGAGAGAGAAGAGAGAGAGAGAGAGAGAGGGAGGGAGGGAGAGAGAGAGAGAGAGAGAGAGAGGAGAGAGAGAGAGAGAGAGAGAGAGAGGAAGGTAGGAGGATAGGTGAAAACGTTGTACAAATGGAGAGAGAGAGAGAGGGAGAGGAGGGAGAAGGAAGGGGGAGAGAAGAAAAAGGAAGAGAGGGGGAGTCTGGAGGGAGAAGGGAGGGGTGGGGAAGCATGGATCATCCAGAGGGAGGAGAGAGGAAGAAGGAAGAGGGAGGGTGGGGGATGCTTGGGCCATTCAGAGGGGGGGGAGGGGAAGGATGGGGTGTCCTTGGCAGTGACAGTGGCAGTGGGGGACTCACAGCCTACACCCCCTTACACACACTCCCACTCTCTCCCTCGCCCTCGTCCACACACGCACGCACCAACGGCGTTGTATACTCACGCCCCTTGTGAGCGCTTAGGTGTGTATACACTCTTCTGTGTCTTACAAACCCGCGCCTACAGTCTGTTTGCCTGTCTGTATTTGCCTGTCTGTCTGTCTGTCCGTCCATCTGTCTGTTTATTTTTCTTCTCTCTCGACACTCGTATATAGCTTTTGGGAAGTTTTATACTCCCCTTCAAAGAATCCTTTCACAATACATATTTTCCTCTTTCTCTCTCTCTCTCATTCTCTTTCACACACACACACACCTCCTCTCCTTTGCCTCTCCCTCCCTCATTCCTTCCACCTCCCCAATTCCTTCCCTCTCTCTCCTCCCTCCCTGTCGAGTCACCGCTACAAGAAGACCTCCCTCTCTTTTTCCTTCAACCTCCCTCATTCCTTCTCCCTCTCTCCTCCCTCCCTGTCGAGTCACCGCTACACGAAGGAGTCTTTGGAGAGGCAGCCAAGCGGAGACCCCCCAGAGCAAGGGAGTCCCGAGTCACACCACACTTAGGTGACTTTTCGAACCTTATGCTTGTGGCAGCACGCATGTCTTTACTCCTGGATTATGCGTGGGGAATGTAAGGAAGAAGGAGGTGATGGAAAGGTGGATGGATGAATGGGTGGATAGATGGATGAATAGAAGGAGGGGAGAGAGGGAGCGAGGGAGGAAGAGGGAGCTAGAGAGATATATAGATAGATATGTAGATACAGAGAGAGAGAATCCAGCATTTTTGCTCAAGTTTATTTATCGAAATAAAAGTCCGTATATACAGGTCTACACCGACATAGGTAGATTCTTAAGCAAACAGATAAAATCAGAGGCAGACACACACATTTCCCAACAGCCAAATAAACAAACCCCGAAAGAATGAAAGAGAGAACGAAAGAGAGAGATAGAGAGAGAAGAGAAGAGATGAGAAGAAGCGAAGAGCGAAGAGTAGAGAAGAAGCGAAGAGCGAAGAGTAGAGAAGAAGCGAAGAGAAGAGAAGAAGCGAAGAGCAAAGAGCGAAGAGCGAAGAGAAGAGAGAACAAAAACCACACACCTTTCAGAAATTTAAATCACAGCCAATCCATCCTTAACAAGAATGTGTATTTCGTAGCCTGCAGTGCGGAGTTCCCCAAGGGTAGTAACCCAGTTCCTCCCTGTTCGCACAACACCCTTCCCCCTCCCCTCCCGTCCCCTCCGTCTTCCCCCTGCCCCTCCTCTCCCCCCTTGGCCTTTACCCTAGCACCCTTAAAGAACCATCATCCCTAAGGGAGAAATACGAAATAGAGAGAAAAATCGAGGGAGAAATGCACTTGCACAGGCCGGTGGAGGGAACTTAGATGCTGCCACCCAACTTTCTCCAGGGAACTTACCTCAGCCCTTGTATATCCATGGCGGCGTCCTTCTCACTTCACACACAAATATCCTCACAATACACACAGGTGCATCAGCACGCGCGATAATATATCTCTTCCGATGTCGAAATGCCTAGAAATTGCCTCACATTGCACCTTGGCCACGAGCGCGAACATCACTCTCTCGTCACATGGTCATCGCTACACTGAGTTCGCGCTGGTGAATCAACACTGTTTTGCTCTCAGTGTTGACCTCATTGCCACATGTCGCCGGATTCGAGCGCCCGGTCTCCCCCCGCGCCCTTTTTTCTTTTCAAAATCTGCTCTCGATGCCTCGTGTCTTGGCGATTTAGATGCCTCCTGCAAGTATGGCGGATTGGGATTCGAATTGTGGGTTGGGATTTAGGTCTGGTTTGGGTCTTATTAGGGACGAATCGCCCGGTTAAAAGTTTGTTTTAAAATGTGACGTAGGTAATCGACGGAGGGGTTGCCGGGTGTCGCCATCGCGGGATTCCCGAAATAATACCTGCCTATATTGTTAATTTTTTGGCGGAAACGGGCATGTAACTCCTCTTAATTTATATAAATCAGCATCATATCAGACTCCCTAATAAATGCCACGCAAACCTATATCCAATGCGGCTCATTACCATCGAGAAAACACCCTCTAAAAATTGTGGAGAATGAAAAAGAGAAGAAATCTCTCCCATGAATACAGCTGATCGATAAATTTACAATCCTACAAAGCTACATCCAGTCCGATCAGTAGCTTCCTGTCCAGCAAGCACGCCGACGGACTGCCAAGTAACAGCCAGACGCCCCACGCAGGAGGAGCAAGCGATAGGCACCCGAACTCTCTCGCTTGTCTCCCTTTTTACGAGTTGAGTGGCTGAGTTTAGGCTCGCCAGACAGTGGGCGTGGGGGAGGAGGAGAGGAAGAGAGGGAGGAGGAGTAGGAGGAGGTGGGGGAGGAGGGGAGGTGGGGGTGGGGAGCTACAAGCGAGCGCCACAGGTCTACACCTCCACCTCCACCTCCCTCCCTCCCTCCCTCCCTGCCTCCTCCAGCTCCCTCCCTCCCTCCTCCCTTTCCTCTACCGGTCGCTGGTGCCATATGTCTGGAGCGAACCTCTGTATCTGCTCTATAACAGTCCTTGTGAAGTCTCACAGTTTCTGTCTCTCTTCCCCCCTCCCTCCCTCCTTTCTCTCTCTCTCTCTCTCTCTCTCTCTCTCTCTCTCTCTCTCTCTCTCTCTCTCTCTCTCTCTCTCTCTCTCTCTCTCTCTCTGTTTCGTTATCTTCGCTGTCGGCAAAGGCACGTACAAGCATGGGAATGAAGACAAAACGAAAGTGACATTCTTGGCCAAATTCAAGTTATCTTCTTTGGAGTGAAAACAATACTATAAAACTGCTTTTGGAAGTTGCCCTCACAACCAAGGAGAGAGAGTGAGAGAGAGAGAGAGAGAGAGAGAGAGAGAGAGAGAGAGAGAGAGAGAGAGAGAGAGAGAGAGAAAGCGAGAGAGAGGTGGGTGGGAAGGGAGAGAGAGAGAGTTGGAAAGAGAGAAATAATGAGAGATATAGACAGACTCAGACAGAGAAAGAGAGCGAAAGAACAGAACAGAGAAAGAGAACAAAAATCGAGAGAAAAAAGTGAAGAAGAAGAAATCGAAAAAAGGGGCGGTTTTCTGAACTAGTTGGTATGAGAGTGGTAGTGAGATACCTCAAGGTTGGTGTGTGAGGACTCGTACTGTTTGTCTGGCGCAGGTACCTCGGTCACCCAGCCAGCCCCTGACAACACTACTCTCCGCTGCCCTCTTCCCCCCTCCTCCACCCCTACCCCTCTCTCTCTATGCCACCACCGCCGTCGACGCCTCTGCCCCTGCGAACATCTCTTTTCCCAACGCCGCCCAACGAAGGTAGAGGGCGCTGTTCTCGTCGTTGATGGTTTGTTTATAAGGTCATTGCCGGTGTCTTTTTCTTCCTTATTTGGGAGTTTAATGGGAAATCATGAATAAATTTAAAAACAAAAAAAAGAAAAAAAATCAAAACATCAGATAAAAAAGAGGGAATTGACCTTAACTAATGTACCATCTTACTCTCCTCCTCTCCTGAGAAATAATGAATAATAATAAAAAATACATGGATTAAAAACATTCAAATACCAATAAAAAGATAAAAAAAACAGATACTGTTTATAACTAGCAAGAGACCTTCGCTAATGATCATATTACTATCAAATTCCTTGTTATCACTTTATCTCTGAATGGCTACCAGTACAAGCTACTAGTCATCACCTTTATAAATAATCTTATCAGTCCCTTATATACCTTTTGTCATATCTATGTATCTATAAGAAACAACAGATAGAATTCATGAATCTAAAAAATACAAATAATAATAATAATTGTAATAGATTGATAAAATAAAAATGAGAATGAATTATTTCACTCAGATATTGATGAAATTGGTGGTTTTCGATTAATGTTTTTTTTTTCTCTCTCCCACGGAATTGCGGATAATTATTTCTCGTAAATATGTGATTTTGATGAAGATTTGTAATCGAAAATTAAAAATTGTATTTCCTGGTTTGCGATTTTATCAATGCTTATTCTATTTTTTTCTATATTCTATTAATTCTCATTTTCATCTTTCTGTATTTTATCAATTCTCATTTTCATCCTATCTGTTCATTTCTGTCTATTTATTTATTTATTTCACATTTAAAATGATAAATTTTGTTCTTAAATGGTAAAAAAATAGTCACTTTTCGAAAAATAGGATTTTTAAAATCACCGTATTACATTTTCTCTTCGTTTAATCTATTGTATCGTGATGTCGAGATAGTGAAATATTACCTTGGTGTATTCCAGTGTTCTAGTGGTACCAAACTGTGTCAACCGGTGGTGCCAAACCGTGTTATTCAGTGGTGCCAAACATTGTCTCTAGGTGGTGCCAAACCGTGTTTTTCTGTGGTGCTTATCCATGACTTATAGTGGGGCCATTAATGTCTTTCAGTGGTGTTAAGCCGCGTTTTTCAATGGTGCCAAATCGTGTCTTGCAGTGGTGCCACATCGTGTCTTCCAGAGTTGCCAACCGTGTCTTTTAGCGATGCCAAACGTTGTCTTTAAATGTACAAATCCGTGTCTTTCATTATTGCCAAACGTGTCTTCCAAAGGTGCCAACCGTATTTTTCCTGTGGTGCCAAGCCGTGTCTTCCATTGGTGCCAATCGCGCTTTTGGGTGGTCCCAAACATGTCTTCCATTGGTGCCAAACCGTATCTCTCAGTGGTACCAAACCGTGTCTTCCGACTGTGCCAATCGCTTTTTTGGGTGGTCCCAAACGTATCTTTCAATGGTGCCAACGGGGCTCCCTCCATCTCACCTTACAGAGAAGAGAGGAACCCTGAGCTTTATATCCCGCGGCATCAGGGTATTAAAGAGGCTAGGGAAACAGTGCCACCCGGTGACAGAGGGCCACTTTCAGCACCGGGAAGGAATGTCATCAGTGCCACGATACCTGGAGAATTGATGACGGAAAGTTGATTTGTGCAATCACGGTGCCAAGTATGTCGAGGTACCACGCTGAATGTAGAGATTTTGGGTGCATAGAGATGTGTGTATGTGTGTGTGTTTGTGTGTGTGTGTGTGGTATGTGTGTGTGTGTATTTGTATGTGCATTTGTGTGTGTGTATGTGACTTCATCTATGTATTTGCGTGTTTACATATTATATGTGCGTATGTATCTGCATGTATACTGGTACCCAGCACGTGCATATCCGTACATACATGTAAGTACACCCTTCGAAATACACCCACCCACACGAACATACACACACGTACCCAAGCGACTGTGCGTGCAAGTGCGCGTGCGTGCTAACGAAACTCGATCCGAGTCTTGAAAACGAACCGAAACGAACCCGCATTACCCGCGACTCGGAGACACGGCCGGAACGAAACGCAAGTGGGACGCCTCCTCCGCCTCCTCCCTTCCAGAGGCGGCCGGTCTCTTGAAGGAGGAGGAGGAGGAGGAGGAGGAATGAGAGATGGAGGAAAATGAGGAAGAGGAGGTGGTAGAAGGAGTGGAAGGGAGAGGGAGGAAAAAGAGGAAGGGGAGGTGGGAGTATGAGGAGAAAGGAGAGGAATAAGAGATGGAGGAAGAAGGGGTGGGAGGAGGAGGAGGAGGAGAAGGGAGAGGGAGGAAAAAGAGGAAGAGGAGGTGGTAGAAGGGGTGGAAGGAAGAGAAGAAGGGAGAGGGAGGAAGAAGAGGAAGAGGTGGTGGCAGAAGGGATGGTGAGGAGCAGGAGAAGGAACAAGAGAAGAGAGATGAAAAAAAAGGAGGGGGAGGAAAAGGAAGAAGAGGAACAACGTCAAGAAAAAGAAGAATAAGAGGAGGAAGAATAAGAATCCTTTCTTGGAGGAGGATCTCTTAAGGATCTCGCAAGGGGTATACGGGCCCAAGATGCTGACTCATCCTACGTGCCGAGGAAAGGAGTCGGAGGCGACGCTTGAGTGACGGGGGGGGGGGGGGGGGGGCGAGTGCACGTCGTGTTTGCCCCCGACGCTGGGAGATGGGGGGAGGGGGGAGAGGGGAAGAAAGGGGGGAGATTGAGGAAGAGGAGAAGGAAAGAAGAAGGGGAGGGAGAGGGGAAGAAAAGGGGAGATGGGGAGGGAAGAAAGGGGAAATTGGGGAAGAGGAGAAGGAAAGGAGAAGATGGGGAGGGAGAGGGGAAGAAAAGGGGAGATTGGGGAAGAGGAAGATGGGAAGGAGAGACAGAGAGGAAGAGAGAGTGAGAGAGAAAGAGAGAGAGGGGGTGGGAAGGGAGAGAGAAAGAGAGAGAGTTGGAAAGAGCGAAATGATGAGAGAGATAGGCAGACTCAGACAGAGAAAGAGATAGAATCAGAGGCAGACAGAGACAGAGAGCAAAAGAAGAGAACAGAGAGAGAGAAAGAGAGCAAAAGAAGAGAACAGAGAGAGAGAAAGAGAGCAAAAGGAGAAATAGATAGATAAGGAAGAGAAGGATAAGGATAGGATGGGAAAGGAAGAGAAGATGGGAAGGAGAGAGAGGGAAAAGAAGGAAAATGAGAGGAAGGGGAATGAAGAAGAATATAAGAGAAAGGAAGACGAAGAGAATGGGGAAGGAAGGATAGGGGGGAAGAAGGATATAGGAGAAAAGAGGGAAGAGAAGAAGACGAAGAAAAAGG